TACCTGAACAGGACTCTGACCCTGCACCGGCATTCGAGGTAATGGCCCTCGGGGAACTGGCCAAACCTCTGGTGCATGCTTCAGACATTGCGATCGCCTCAGCCAAAGACTCCACGATCACCAGGGTGCTCAACTGGGTGTGGAGGAGGTGGCCGGTAGGGCGCGTCACTGACGAGTTTACACAGAGGTTGTTTATTGTGGGGAAATAGGGTGGTGGTCCCCCCAAAACTAAGAAACCAGGTTTTGGAAGTGTTGCATGAATGCCACCCCAGCATAGTGCAGATGAAGGGGCTGGCCCGAGGTTATTTTTGGTGGCCTAAAATAGACTCAGACATCGAGAGTTGGGTGCAGAGGTGTCATGAGTGCCAGCTGTCCCGATCTGATCCCCCACAATGGGAGAAATGTCACCGGCCCTGGTCGCGAGTCCACATCGACTTTGCAGGGCCATTTCAGGGGCAGGTATTTTAATCATTGTCGATGCGTACTCGAAATGTTTAGAGGTGGTTCCAACTTCAAAATCATGGCTCTAACTGTAATCAATGCGCGGCACCGCATTTTTGCTACCCATGGGTTGCCGGACACTCTCGTGTCCGACAACGGAACCTGTTTTACCACCTCAGAGTTCCAGGACTTCTTGGTGGCAAACTTGATACATCACAGCACGTCCGCACCATTCCACCTGGCAACTAACAGGCAGGCCGAAAGAATGGTGCGGACCACAAAGGAAGCCCTCAGCCACCTGGTGCAGGGGAACTGGAGCCAAAAGGTGGCATCGTTCCTCCTCCACCAGCATGTTACGCCGCACTCAGGGACGGGGCGGAACCCAGCAGAAATGCTTATGGGTCGGCGCTTGACCATGCTGCTGGATCGCATGCACCCTGACTTAACAACAACCTGGCCACCGCACAGTGAGTCCCCAGACCAGCCACGGGTTTTTGTCGAGGGAGAAGCTGTGTATGCATGGAACTATGGAAGTGGGCACAAATGGTTACCTGCCACTGTAATTCCTGTTTTGGGGTCCCGCCATTACTCAGTGCGAATTACTGATGGTCAGGTAATGAAGTGCCATGTTGACCAATTGCGCAAATGGTGGGCTGATTCAGTCTCTGATTCCTTTCCCCAGGTGGCCGAGTACCTGACACGGACAGTCAGATAGAGTCTCCGGACTCCGAACAGGCTGAGGACTTCCAAGCAATGGAATCCCCAGGCATAGTTGAGGGTGAGCAGAGCCATGACTATGAAACAGGCCACGAACACTCAGTCCCATTAGGAATCAGGTTGAACCCGCTAACAGGGAGCCCGAAGCTCCTCCTCCACCCCCGCAAACAGAAATGGTAAGACGACCCCAACGGGTTAAGCAGCGTCCAGCATACTTAAAGGACTATGTCTGCTCAAGGGTTGTCTCATCTTAGTGGGGAGGATTGTTATGTATGGAATGGAATGTATGTATCTTTGTATATAGAGCCTGAGTCTGATATAAGGTATTGAAAACCAACCTATCAGAACCAGGAAAGTTCTGGAGGGAAGCAAACTGATTGGTCTTTATTTACAATATCTGATTGGATGTTATCTGGCATGGAGGCGTGGCTTGCCAAGCCCAGACTGTTTAAAAAGGAGCTTGTTGCTCTGTTGTTTGTCTTGTTCTGATTTCTTCTAACTTGTTGAATAAAGCTGTTATCACTGTTCACCTGCTGCCTCGAGTCTCGTATTCAACACAAGAAATGTATGTTCAGCTTAACAGATACGTTCTTGCTAACTCCTGCTGTTATGACTTAGTCACTAGTTGCTTATATATACCAGAGTTATACTAGTTATACTAGTTGCTTATATATACCAGAGTTTTATCTGGAAATATCACAGACTATACATCCTGCATTTTGTTACTACTTGACCCCCACTGTTTATAATATCCCTCTCTGTACCCATGTATGCATATCTATCTGGCAACCGAGGGATATCCTTCCTGCATCAGATGAGCATCTAGTCCAGGAAAGCTTATAGCATAACAAATCTGTTAATATTTATGGTGCCACTAAAGCACATTTTGATTTCAGCTAGTGGTGCTGAATGGATTTGCAGACAGAAACTGCAAGCAAGACAGAAAATTCTCACTGTGAGTCTCCTAAATAGGGATGCCATGAATTTTCTCAGTGAGCCTGTTTAGCAGTCAAACTCACCTTGTTCAACATGCCCAAACAGACTACGGGCCAATCAGGGATATGTCTGGATTGCATCAAGCAATTCAAACCACTGCCTGTTGGACAGAAGCTGACTCACAGCTGATCAGGGGATGAACAGGTTGCAAGCAGCTGAATGGCTTGTCAATTAAAGGGCTGCCTGATCACCACTGGGATGGGGCTGTGGCTGAGTGGAAGAGCCTCTGCTTGGCATGCAGAAGGTGCCAGGTTCAATCCCTGGCATCTCCAGCTAAAAGGACCAGGCAGTAGGTGATGGGAAAGACCTCCGCCCTGAGACCCTGGAGAGACATAGACAGGGGCTGTGGCTCAGTGGCAGAGCATCCGCTTGGTATGCAGAAGGGCCCAGGTTCAATCCCCGGCATCTCCAATTAAAGGATCTGGCAGTAGGTGATGTGAAACATTTCTATCACTGAGACTCTGGAGAGCTGCTTCCTATCTGAATAGACAATACAGACCTTGATGGACCAACAGTCTGATTCAGTATAAGGAAGCTTCATGTGTCCAGGTGTGTCCACTGGAGAACAGGAAGTGAGCCATGCTGGCAGGTGCTCTAGCATTCCTATTTGTAGCCATTTTACACAAACACTTCTAGGGATTATTTGAAGGGCTGAGCTTTCACCTGTTTTCTTATGCTGGTACCAACATACTATCTGTAAGGACAGGCCAGCACCCCCTGGTTCGCCCTGGAGCTGAACAACCACCCTGCTGGATCAAACCAGTGGTCCATCTTGGCCGGCACCCTGTCTCACTCAGCAACAAACTACCTGCCTTGCAAAACCAGTAACCAGAGAACAGAGGCTAAGGATGCTGAACTCTAGACAGACCACCAGTGTGGTCCAGCAGGGCTCTTCTTACGTGCTTAGGTTTTGAATCCCCATTATCCCTCCCCTTAATATTCTGTACTCGCCACACACGTATACCCATTTTTCATTTCTCACTCAGCCACAAATTTAACAGGCTTTCTTTTCTTTTTTCTGCCCTTCCCCGAATCCAAAAGGGAGCAAAATATATTAGTCAAGCACGAGGAATTTTATTAAACACGCAAGGCCCTGAAGTTCAATCCCCCTGAAAGATGAAGCATTTAGTTATTTGACAAAATTCCAGCAGCCAGAGAGAGAGAGAAAGCGAAACTGAAATAGACCCCCCCTTGATCAATTTCACTCACAGGAATGGCTCCTGGTGACCACCAGCAACACAATTACCCTGGCTGATACTGCCAGCCGCCTGTATAAAATGCCAAATATGTCCAGGCAGGTAAAACAAATGCTCAAGTTACCAGCTTTGAATGTATGTTGGCAATGTCAGTAGGACCCAAAATAGGACACAAATGTACAAAAAAAAGGGGGGGGAGTCTTTGTTCTTCTGTAAGATCCACATTATTCTCCATTCGGTTTTTCACCCAAAACAAATGTTTTAGAGCTGTGGCAGTTTAGGGCTATGGATTATGCTGCCATTTGGGAGGAATTTGTTTCATGTTGAAGCCCAGATTCTTTTTTTACCTGTGGAGAAAACCCAGCTACACAAAAGTGATTTGTAGAGGAACTCTATATGTGTGAGCGGAGATGTTCCAGTTCTAGATCAGAAGGGTGTTAGTTTCCCAAGAGGAAAGTTGTGATGCAATCTGCTAGCTTTGTATAAACTACAGACTTCTAAAGAATATTTATCTGACCTACTGAGTTCCCAGGTTTTCTGTTTGCAACTAACTAAAAGGCTACAACACCCATGATGCACTGTAACTGCAACCGAATTTACATGCACAAAGACATCCAGGAATAATAGTTACTCATATAAAATCTTATTTAAAACATTGAGTAGATCAAACCCAATTCCAGTTCATTTATGAACAAAGAAACAGATAGCTCTCACTCTTGTTGGACCCCAGCCCCCAGCTTATTCCCCTCCATTGTGGGAACTCTCCATTTACTCCAAACTCTCTGCTTCCAGGTGTTCAAGCAGTTTCTAATTCATATGACTGCCTCTGGACATAGAGCAGGGGTCACTGGTGGAGTGGGGGGGGCAACTGTTAATTTCCTGCATTGTGCAGGGGGTTGGACTAGATGACCCTTGAGGGTACCTTCCAGCTCTATGTTTCTATGTTCTTTCTTTTTTGTTCATGTTTATTGTAGACTCTGCCTCTTAGCCTAGCCAAGCTTAACATTACTATGAGGACAAACCGGAGAAAAGGATGAACCTTTTATGCCACCCTAAGCTTTGAGAAGCGAGGATGGAATAAAAATGTATTGTAAGCTCGGTAAATGTGGTTCGAAGGCACAAGACACACAACTTGACTGAGCCTACATTTGCTAGGTGCCAGAATGGAAACATGGGAACCTATGTACACTACCTTGAGTTCTTTGAGGGATGAAATGTAAGATTCAAATGTAATAATATGTATCTGCGTGAGAGTTGACAATAATTTGGGGGTAAGATATCCAACAAACTTGGGAGAGGGAGAAAGGACACTGCTTCACTCTTCAGCTGTAGCTTGGCTCACTGGCAGCCATTTTGTTAAGCAGCACCCTATGGCAAGAAGGAGAAGGAAAATGTGTTGTCAAGTCACAACCAACTCATGGTGACCCCATCCATGGGGCATTCCAGGCAAGAGATGAGCAGAGGTGGTAGCAACCCCAGTCCTCCTTGGTGGTCTCTCATTCAAGTACTGATCATGGGCAACTCTGCTTAGCTCCCAAGCCCTGATAAGCTTGGGCTAAGGTGGGCTATTCAGGCTGCTAATGGCAATACACCAACATTCAGTCCACAATTCAGTCCACAAAATGGAACTAACAGTAAAAAAAAGTTTACCTTTCCGGGCAATTCGAATGCAGTTCAGCCTTGTTTCCTGAAGAGAGGATTAAAGAGAGAGAAAAAGACCAATGGTTATTTAAAGAGCAATGGCCAGATTCAAACAAAAGTATTTTATATCTGTAGCTACCTTGAGCAAGTCTCTAGAGAAGCGGCATATACGTTTCTTTCAGACAGAGAGGGTTTTTCTTTTTCTTGGTACCTGCTACCTCAGATGGAGGTGCTGAGGACTGAACCTGGGACCTTCCAAATTCAAAGCACTGAGCCCAGGCAGCTCCAAAACAAACCTAATAGAAGAGGTGCTGACAGACCTGCTGAGATCTGCGTTGCTGAAGTCCCCATATGGTTTGAGAGTATTGCAGCTCTTCTGAATGCTATGTGAACTGATTAAAAAGCTGGGTGCTTAAAACTGTAACTCCATCATTTGTAATCAGAAGCACATTTGCCGACTGTGTGGCTTGGCACTGAATCCCTATCGGCAAAAGCCCGGGATGGAGAATATCACCCTCGGGGCTGCAAGAGAGCCCGAAGCAGAGAGGCAATCATCTCAGCACAGCCTCCAGCCCAAGTGTCTGGAGATTCCATTGGCCAGAACAGAAACCATCCATCACTCCCTTCCTTTTTTTCCCCTGCTCCCCAGCTCCTCCCTTTCAGTTCCATCTGCCCAAAGGGTTCCCAAAGGCATCCCTCTGCATTGCCTAATGCCTGCCTCCCTGCCAAATGACATTTTAATGCGATGGCCGCAGATGGAAAAAATGGAAATTAAACAAATGGGTACCATTTTTCATCATGTGAATCACAGCTAGTTGTTACACACAGGGCTCCTCGCTGTGCTGTTTGGGATATTTCTGAGCAGGATCTGCAGAAGCATGGCAGTACTGAGGAGGAGGCTGGAGAACCAGCTACAGTGTATACCAGGGGTCCCCAACATGGTGCCCATGGGCACCATGGCACCCACTGACACCTTTCCTGGCACCTGCCAAGTGCTTTTAGAAAATGGGCGGGGCTAGGTGGGGCTTCTTCCAAGCAGGGTTTCTGATTGGCTGTGCAGATTAAAACAGATCCTCCACTCGAAATGTTGAGGAATTACTATTAGAGTTTCTATAACCTCGATCTCTGATACTCTGTGGTTAGCCCCACCTGCCACAGCAGCCATTTTGTGACTGGATCCACCTCCTGTACAGCCATTTTGTGATTATGCCCACCACCTTGTCCAAAGGTATCCAGAGGTTGGGGTTGGGGACCCCTGGTATATACTTTCCAGGATGCCCCTTCTTGCAGCTAGCCCATGAAATCCATCACCTGGTAGTGACTGACACTTGAGAGAGAGAAAGGGAGTCATTGGTGAGAAGCTACCAGTTTTGTTTGCAAGCCCAGCAAGTTGCGACCAACTGCCAAAGGTTAGTCCAGGCAGTACCTTCAATATATGAAGTTGTCTTATGCTGAATCAGATTCTTGGTCCTTCATATTCAGTATTGTCTGCTCAGACTGGTAGTGCCTTTCCAGGTTCTCAGGCAGAGGACTTTCTCATCACCTACTGCCAGGCAATGCTTCCTCTAAGCTGTGGAGTCCTGTGAGCAGAAATTCTACTTTGTGAGCTACTGGCATTAAAGTTGTGAGTGAGCAATTTAGCTACTGCATAATATTAGTTTGCTCTGGAGCCATCCTTCCTGAGTGAAGACAACAATGTGTGAGCCAGAGGCTTAAAAACTGTGAGCTAGCTCACACTAGCTCAGCTTAGAGGGAACACTGCTGCCAGGTCATTGAACTGGAGACATCAGGGATTGAACCTTGGGCCTTCTGCTTGCCAAGCTGAGGCACAGCCCCTTCCCTCAGGATTGCCTTCTCTAATGAGCAGCACCTCCAGGACCTCAGGCGGAGAATGGGTCTTTTGTAGCACCTGCTGCCTGGAATCTGTTAACTGGAAGTACTTGGTACTACTTGCATGCAAAGTACTGCTCCGTCACTGAGCTTCAGTCACTCACAATGAAGTCACCTCATTCCCGTCTTCTGCATCTGGAGAGCCTTAAACTGGAGTTGCCTGGATTGAACCTGGGACCTTCTGCAGGCAAAGCAGATACTCTGCCTTGATCCCTCCTAATACAGTGGTCTCTCTCTAACACCTTGTTCTCAGGTGCCTTTAACTGGAGTTGCATGGGATGGGATTGAACCCAGGAACTTCTGCACAAATGCATGGAGCTGCCTTATACTGAATCAGACCCTTGGGCCATCAAAGTAAGTATCATCTACTTGGACCAGCAGCAGGGTCTCAAGCAGAGGTCTTTCACATCACCTACTATATGATCTTTCTACCTGGAGACATCAGGTATTGAACCTGGGACTTCTGCATGCAAAGCACATGCTCTACCACTGAGCCACAGCCCTGCTGACAAAGTCTATAAGACATCCATTACTTTCTTAGTGCCTGCCTGCCCTTTGCCAGCCCTCTGCCTACACACAGCTGTGAGAAACCCATGCCTGGACTCTTTCGGCTTCTGACTCTCAGGGCATAACAGTTCTTAGCTCTCTACTCTCCTCCCTCCAAACCCAGTTGCAGAGATGGGAGCTGCTGGAAAGTGTCAACTCCAGACATCGAGGATTTACCAGAGGGCACCCCAAGTGCTCCAGCAGTCTTCTTGAATGAAATTCACCAAGACAGGGAATAGAACCTCAGGGTAGTCAGATAAGATTTATTTCTGCAGCAAAGCCCAGGTGGCTGAAGGGAGGCCAAGTTATTGGTGTGTGTTACATCTTCCTGATTGGCACAGTACAGCCTGCTAGGGAAGCTGCAGGGGACAGGCCGGCCGAGGGCCTCAAGTGTGCGGAGGGCATTCTCCTTATGTTAGCAGATGCAAGGAGTTACTGGGAGAAAGGGTGTCAAAGCGGAACATCTCAGACTGAGATGCTTGCTGGCTTTTGGCCATCCTCCCTCTCCAGACGGTCTTAAAAGAACACAGAGATCTTCTTTCTCCCCACTGCTGGAATAATACATGTGAAATGTTTTCTTTTTAATTCTCTGTACTTTTTAATTTTGAGGGGTTGTATTTTAGTTCAGCATGATTTTAATTTGGAATGCATTCTTTTCTTTTTTTAATTCAGTGCATTATTTAATATGCAGTTTATGCTTTTACAGTTGTATGCATTTTAAACTGTGCACTGAACTGGTAGGGTTTGTATCCTTTGCAGCCTGGTATTACACTGTTAGCAGCCAAAGGTGATACAGTGGGATATAAGAACATAAGAACATAAGAGATGCCAATGTTGGATCAGGCCAAAGGCACATCCAGTCCAACACTCTGTATCACACAGTGGCCAGAAATACCAGTGCCATCAGGAGGTCCACCAGTGTGGCCAGGACATTAGAAGCCCTCCCACTGCTGACCCCCCCAAGCACCAAGAAGACAGTGCATCACTTGCCCCAGAGTCCCTATCTATACCTTGTGGCTAATAGCCACTGATGGACCTCTGCTCCATATGCTTATCTAATTCCCTTTTGAAGCTGTCCATGCTTGTAGCCGCCACCACTTCCTGTGGCAGTGAATTCCAAGTGTTAATCACTCTTTGGGTGAAGTACTTCCTCTTATCCGTTCTAACCCGACCGCTCAGCAATTTCATGGAGTGCCCACGAGTTCTTGTATTGTGAGAAAGGGAGAAAAGTACCTCTTTCTCTACCTGCTCTTTCCCATGCATAATCGTATAAACCTCAATCATGTCACCCCTCAGTCGTCGTTTCTCCAAGCTAAACAGCCCTAAGCGCCTTAACCTTTCCTCATAGGGAAAGTGTTCCAACCCCTTTATCATTCGAGTTGCCCTTTTCTGCACTTTTTCCAAAGCGATAATATCCTTTTTTAGGTGTGGTGACCAGAATTGCACACATTATTCCAAATGAGGTCGCACCATTGATTTATATAGGGGCATTATGATATTGGCTGATCTGTTTTCAATACCCTTCCTAATAATCCCCAGCATAGCATTGGCCTTCTTTATTGCAGTCATAAAGGTTTAAAGGTTTAAAGATATAAAGGTTTCAAATAAACTAATAATGTTTCTTCATGCCAAGAAGTGGGTTGGATCCAGCCACTTTTTTCCAACCCATCTCACCGAACTTGCTGCCTTATAATGACCCCTTTTCTTGCTGCCTTACAATGACGCCTTTTCCCCATGACTTTTGTCCATGCAGGTCCCATGTTTCTCCACAAAAAAGACCCTCTCTTCTCCTGTTTGCCAATAGAAAAGCTGGTTGAATTCAACCCATTAGTGGTGGTGGTGGAAAGTGCTGTCAAGTCACACTGACTTATGACAACCCCTTGGGGTTTTCAAGGCAAGAGACTAACAGGGGTGATTAGCGTAGCAACCCTGGTATTCCTTGGAAGTCTCCCATCCAAATACTAGCCACAGCTGACCCTAAGCTAAGCAGCTTCTGAGATCTGACGAGATCCAGGACAGGGTAACTCATTACTAGTTGTGGCTGAACATTCCAGATTGAGGGGAAAGGCTGAAGTTCATTGATAAAATGCTTGCTCTGCATGCAGAAAGAAGGGTCCAATCCCATGAATTTTTGGTTCAAAATAATTTCAGGAGGCAGAGCTGGCCCTGGAAAGTGGATCCTTGTTACAGCTCAGTCAAAACAAACTATTAGGCAGACTCTAGATAAGAAAGCCTTCTTATGTTGCATAGGATACAGGCTGTCGTTTAGGTAGAGTGCTTGCTTGGTATGCATACAGCAGTTGCCATTTACTGTAATAATGTTTATTATTTATATAATGCCTAAGAACTAACAACTATAGAAAGAAAGGTGTGAGCTTTCTGGAGTCCTCCCAAATGGTGATATCAATGAAAACGAGCAAGGCACAGTAGTTGCTGTCAATACTACACAAATTAATAACAGCTGTTTTAGGCTGATCTACAGGGAGGCTGTCCAAAGGAGCAGGGAGGCTGATCAATGGTATTTGAGCAGAGGGGCTCAGATTCAAGCTCCATAGTCAAAATAATTCTAAGAAACTGATGTGTGGGTGTGTGTGTATGCAAATGCATGCATGCACAGGGGTACATGTGTTCCTAGTAGCACTACCCAATTATAGGATCTCTGGTAGCCAGCATCGAAAAAGAATATTCTCTGCCACTGAACCTCTGCTCATCAAAGAAAGCAACACTGAACTACATGGACTGAGATCTGACCCAGTGTTGTTCATCCTTTTGAAATACAGATGGCCATTCTAAAGGTTGTGAGAAGGACAAGACCATGGTCACTCTTGAGATGGGGATGAAATGAATCCTACTTTATAATCAGAAGTTGCTACTTACCCCTTTGAGATTGCTCATGGCCTGGAAATAGATGAGATATGCCTTCTTGGGCTCCAGGGGTGGATTCCAGTAGCCGTTGTATGTTTGATTGTCTCCAACAGTGAAAGGTTTGGCTTCTGTGAGGCTGCTGGGAGGCAGTTCAGCTCCAAAGTAGTGAACAGAGCCACGGGACATGGCATCGTCAAAGGTGAGGGGCACTGGAAAGCACTCCTGGCCCCCGACCTCCCGCTTGATCTTCTTCGGCCTGTCTTCTTCCACAATGACTTGGTATGTGCTGGGAACACAGTCAGGGAAGCAGGTTGGAAAAAGAAACAGAAATGGTAAAAATCAGATGCAAGCTGGTCGACAACACAGGTGTGCCATAGGCCCAGTCTCTCAGCCTAAACTAACTTGCAGAGTTGTTGCGGAGGCAAAATGGAAGTGGGGAGAACTAAACTTGAGCTACCTGGAGGATGTGTGGAATAAAAAATGGGACAGGTACCTCTTATTTCCCCATACCAGGGCTTAAAACAGCCCATGAGAAGCTATTTCAATCTGAGAAAATAGCAAGTGGTGAAGAGTAACCTCCCTTAATTCATGAGCACCAGTATGGTATAGCAGAGTGTTAGATAGGATCTAAGAGACACTCTGACCGCTATATCACACTGGTGCTCATGGATTGACAGAGGTTATTCTTCATCTCCTGCTATTTTCTCAGCTGAGAATAGCTTCCCATGGGGTGTTTTAAGCCCTAATATGGGAAAACAAAAAATACCTGACCCATGTCATCCCAACCTTCTTTCACATAGCTTAAGTTAAGCCCTCTAAGCACAACCTACCTAATGCTGAATAACACAGTTTCTGAACACTTTCAGTGCACCTTACCACTGGAACTTGCTGCATGAAATGGCAAAATCCTCTTGCAAACTATCACTAAAGTGTATTGAAAGTGCATTATTCAGCGTGTGTGAAAACACCACAAGGCCTGAATCCCCACTGTTCTCTAGAAGCTCTCTGGGTGACTTTGGGCCAGTCACACTCTCTCAGCCTAACCTACCTTACAGGGTTGGTGTTGTGAGGCTAAAAAGGAGGAGAGGAGAACGATATTGTAAGCTGCCTCACGTCCCCACTGGGCACAAAAGCAGAGTATAAATATCTAAAATAAATGAGTTATTAACACTCCTCTCAAGCTGATTTTGGAAGTCAAATTACGTGTAAGAAATTCCAGTCACGGAGTTCCTCCATCACGCATACTGAGATATCATTTCAGTACAGAAGAGACAGACACTAACCCCTCAAATTAGGTCTCACTTGTCAATCACTTGTCAATTAGGTCTCACTTGTCAATCATGCTCTGAGGGAAGGATGGTGAGTGTGTTGTTGTTCTTTGACGGGGATTTCCACCTGACTTTGTCGAACAGGTAGCGCGTGAAAGGCAACAGACAACCCAGCCAAGACTAAAACAGAGGAGTGAGCAAGAAACAGGGTAGATAAAATCTCATTCAGGATTTCAGAGAGGAGTTCTTCATGGACTGCCCTCTGCAGAGGAATGAGAGCACACAACACCCACCCAACAAGAAGCGTGAGCAGGGCTGGCCTCAGCATCCCAAATGCCATGGCCCAGGGTTTCTAGCAGGGCCCACTGCTGCCCACTCACCTGCATGTGCTCCAACACCCATGGCTCCCTGATACAAACACTGCTCAGTGCCACTGAGGAAGGGTCTGCAGGCACCTGGGAGCATGGGCAGTGGGAGTGGCTTGTGAGCAAAAAAGGACACCAAAGCAGATGGGAGGCATGCAGGTGGGTGGGTGAAAGGGAAGGAGGGCAAGAGTGCCTGGGGGTGGGCCAAGAAGAAGGGGGCCTGGAAACACTCTAGTTGGGCCCCCACAAAACTGGAACCAGCCTTGAGTGCGAACCCCTGTGTTCAAAACCAGGAGCTCAAAACTAAGCAAGAACACAATTTATTGTTAAGCATTTAGGGTGAAATAATGGCCACAGACCAATAATTGTTGTAATAACCCCTCCTCCTGTCTCACACCAAATCTATATAATCCTGATTGGCCCTCTGTTTGTAAGGGGGCTGAAGCCCTTTGCTGAATATAAATTTGTGAGAAACCTGCAGTCAGAACCCAAAAGTAAATATTTAGAACAAAAATAAAAAGACAGTTGATTTCCTTTCAGGAAAGCAATCACTGTATGTCCAAATCCAACTATGGCATATGATTCTCTTAAGCACATATGATTTCCTATACCTGATTGGTGCCCCTCTGCCCTGCGCCGGCCTCAGCAGAACAGTGATGGTGCTCTCTGACTCTCCCAAGGGTGAAGGCATGTCTCCATAATCAAAACTGGGAGCTAAAAAAGAAGTATAAAGGACAATTAGTAAATGTAATGGGCAGTGCTGTAGGTTGGTAGCCTATCTTTTGGCATCCTAAAGAATAAAATATTTACTATGGCCTGGGATTTTGTAAGCTGGAGCCTGGTTCATCAGATGTAAGAAATGAGAAGACAAGATTTACCAAAAAGAGTCAATAATATTAGGAAATGTTGAAGGCAGCAGGAAAAGAGGTGTGATAGATTGACTCAATAAAGGAAGCCACAGCCTTCAGTTTGTAAGACCTGAGCAAGACTGTCAATGACAGGACATTTGGGAAGTCATTAATTCATAGGGTCACCATAAGTCCGCAGCAACTTGATGGCACATAACACACAAGAAAAGCCACATTTGGTTGGCAGATTTATACCCAGAGCTGCAAACAGCAGAAGGGTGAGAGAGAGCTGTTACAAAGAGAAGGATGAATCACGGTCACGTCCATAAACCTGTAAAAAGGAACAATTGTAATTGTTGTTTTCTAATGAGTGAACTATCCCAAGTGCCTACTGAGTCCAAGTCTAATAGCATCGTATTCTCTAGCATTAAGTGGTCCAGCTGAGTTGGCAGAAATGGTCAAAAGCATGGGAGCTGTCCAGCAGTTCAGCAATCTCGGCAAGACTCAACAGCCTGGAGATTTGAGTGCTAAGAGCAGGGGAGCTGTCCAGAGAGTGCAGGTGCTGGAAAACAGATGCTGGTCTATAAGAATATTGCATCAGCAACTTCCAGGCAGTATACAAGTTCTTTATTTTTAAAAACTGCCTAGCTATTTAATCCAGCCAGGCGTAGTAGTGTGGTCCTGATGAGACTTAAAGCTTCCTCCCTCAGAGGAGGAGCCACAATGGGATGTCTTGTGCTGCCAAGGGAAGTATCAAACTTCTGGTTTGGGTGCGTCTCAGATTTATTGGTGTATCCCAGAGATAATCTTGAGAAGCGGTGAGAGTGTGTGTGTCAGATGACAATGTGTCCAATTGGAATCTATCTAGTTTTCTTAATTCTGCTGATTACTTCGATGGCACTTCCTCTTACATGGCGTTCTCAAGGCTTCCCTCTGGGTATCCTGTCACTCCCAGCCTGTAGTTTGGGAGAGAGGGAGTCTTCTCATCCCATTCTGATTCAGAGCTTGTTCCATTCCTAGTAAAAGATGATATAGTCTGTATACCTTTTTTTTGGGCCCCCTGAAGGGGATTTTTTAATTGCATTTTCTAAAAGTACATGAAAAAATAGGAAAGGGACTAGATACTATAGGATAAAGTAAAGAAACCTCTAAAAACCCAAGAGTGGGTGTCATACAAACTGCTTTAACAAGATTACAAGCTTATATAGCCAAATATTCATATAAATTCATTGAACATGTTCATCATCTTTTAAACTTCCGTTCCAACTTAAACATCGTCTACTGTGACTTCTTAAAGAGTCTAAGATGGGAGGAGTGAAATTGAGGATCTGGAGATTAGTATTGGGGATTGTCCTGAGTGGCTGCCAGTGCAGGATGTGGAGATAGTTGCGTTAATTACTCAAATTAAGGCTGGGAAGGCGCCGGGACCAGATGCAATTCTCCCGAAGGCCATTAAAGTGATTCCGGAATGGGGGGCGTCCTTAGCAGTTTTATTTACTGCTATAGATAGGACAGGTATAATACCTGAATAGCATGGACAAATGCTATTATAGTACCAATTTTCAAAAAAGGTGACTATAGATCGCCTAGTAATTATAGGCCCATTAGCTTGCTTTCTATTTTAGGGAAACTCTATGCAAGCCATCTGGCGTTCAAACTTAAGGCCTGGATGGCAGAACAAAACTTTTTAGGTATAGAGCAAGCAGGATTCAGTTAGGGGAAGTCAACTTTAGATCACTGTCTTGTGTTAAGTCACTTAGTGAATAAATATAAAAAAGGGAAAGGGGACAAGTTGTACTCTGCCTTTTTAGATTTGAAGAGTGCTTTCAATACTGTTTCAAGGGAGCTGCTATGGAAGAAGTTAAGGCTGTTGGGAATTGACATGAGATTGCTCCTGTTGATCAAGAAATTATATACAGATACCACTTGTCAAGCAAGAGGCTCTAGGGATGAGGATTTAATCCTGAAAATTTCCATCAATATAGGGGTTAAGCAGGGCTGTGTATTGGCTCCCCTCCTTTTAAATCTTTTTTTAAACGATTTGGCCAAGGGGCTAGAGGGGATTGATGGACACAGCCCAATTTGAGCTCGTGCTCGGTGCCCCTGTTACTGTATGCAGACGATTATGTAATTCTTTCTAGGCCTGAAGTAGGGATAAAGAGGTTGTTAGCACACTTTATAGAATATTGCAAGATGAACGGGTTATCCGTGAATTTTGACAAAACTAAAATAATGGTGTTCGGAGATTCCTGGAAACCTATTGGTGTGTTAAGGGCAAAGACATTGAACAGGTGAAGAGTTTTAAATATTTGGGAATTAATTTTCGCCATAGTGCTAGGTGGGTAGCACACAGATCAGAAGCAATCAAAGCTGCGAATTGCTGTGTGCTAGCAATAACCCGTTTCTTTTTTACCAAGGGTAATCAGTATGTTCCTGTGGCCCTAAAGGTGTTTGAGCATAAAATTAGAGCAAAACTTCTTTATGGGGTGCCCATTTGGATCACTGCTTTTAACAAAATGGTAGAACAACTTCAATGCAATTTTGTGAGGAAAATATTAGGGCTGCCTCGGTGTGTTCCTTATGCTGCCATTTGTTTGGAAGCCAATTTGATAAGCTTGGAAACAAGGCCTTGGATAATTACTTTCAGATTTTGGTTACACCTGTATTTCAGGAGCTGTCCCAATAGCCTTATTCCATAACTGCTGAAAGAGTCTCATTGTTCTAAGTGGTTTGCTGCTATAGAAAGGAAAATCATCTCAATAGGATAATGCCTGAATGATATGATGTCCTTATCTGAAATAAACATCTTTGCTCTGTGCAAACAGAGATTAATTGATATTGAAATGCAAGAGAGAGTTTTGGCTTCTGGCAGATGTTCTCCTTTAAGATGGGCATGCTTTCCGATCAACGCCCGAGCACAATACTGTTCGGATCTGACTTCCCTCAGCTGCGTAGAGCATTTATGCTGGCCCGTTTTAATGTGCTCCCCTCTGCGGTTTTAGCTGGAAGATTTAAGAAAATCCCCTACTCTGTAAGGTTCTTTGATTGTGGTTCAGAGGAGATTGAAACAATCGAACATGTATTTCTCTATTGTAGTTTGTATGAGGACATTCGGGCAGCCTATTTAGAAGATATTCTTAAGAATGAAGCCAAGCAATCCGATGACAGAATGTTGTATCGTTTACTGGCTTCAGAAAACATAGTGGTTATTGAAGCGGTTGCTAAGTTTTGTAACTGCCTTATAATGAGGAAGATTTGTGTTAAACCCATGAACTGAATGGCGATTGTGTATGATTCTGATCTATGCCAATAAAGGTTTTGAACTGAACTGAACTGAACATTCTTTAAACTTTAGAGTTATAATAACAAATCAATTTTTATCTTTTGGCTTCCTCAGTCTATAGCCTTGTTTTGGGGCCGCAGCCCCCAGATTTGAGTCTGATTCTTCACCAGAAAATGACTCTACTCCATCTCTATCTTCTTTCTCAGGGCTGCCTCTGTCTTCTTCTTCTTTCCCATCTGTTGGACAGCTGTGCAGGTGCAGGAATTTATTTGCTTTTTCCAGAGTGTCAATTTTTTCTTTTCCATTTGCAAACTTAAAGATGACTCCTTGGGGAAAAATCCATCTGTAGACAATTTGTTTCTTTTGAAGGAATGCGACCAAGTCTTTATATTTATGCCTTTTCTTCCTTATTTCAAATGGTATGTCCTTTAGTACCTTGATCTCTTTGCCCTTGATTTTCAGGGTAACTCCACTGGCCACTTTAAGAATTTTATCTCTGACATTTCTTCTGGAGAATCTCACCATCACTGCTCCTGGCAGATTATTGTTCCTTATGAATTCTGTATATGAATTCTGTATATACACATTAACTTAGTGAGATTTTCCCCTTTTTCCTCAGGAATTCCCTGAAATCTTAGGACATAGCTTGCCCTTTTCATTTGTAGCTGTAGCAGTTGAGACTCGTCTATTTGTTGCTTCTTCTCCATTGTCTGCATTTGTTTTTGCAGCTTTTTGGTGTTGGTGTCTACTTTTTAAAGTTGCAATCCCGTTTGATCGATTTTTTTTGACAGTCTCGTTAATTTGAGCTCGCTGTTCATCCAGCTTTCGATTTATTTCCATCACTTGTTCCAGTAGAGGGTGCAATGCCTCACTTAATAGCCTTTGAAGGCCTGCGTTTGTGTCCTGTTTGGGCACAACACTCGCTGGGCTGGTACTTCCGGTGATCTTAGCTTTCGTTATCTTCTCCCTCTCATCCTTCTTTATGGGAGGCGCCATTTTTGAGAAATTGTTTACTTTTTAACAAAAGTTATCATAGTCTCTGAAGTTCTCAGTTATGCTTGGTAAGTTCTTAGAAATCTTTTAATTCAGTCTGTTTCGCTTTAAAAGCTTGCTCCCCCCTGCTTTTACGATTGAGTTCGCTTTCAATTTGTCTTATCGTAGGGGAGTCCCCCCCCTTGCTTCCCACAGGGCGGCTTTTGGCTCTTTTCGATGTTCTCGCTTCACCTTAACTCACAGTTCAATGATTATACGATTTCCATATCGCTTAAGTTGCAAAACCGCTAGATCACCCGGCGCTTGATCTGGTGTGCGCTTCTAGTTCCATCTGGAAATTCCGTAGTAGGACTGTCGGGGCATGGATGCCCCCCCTCACTGGCTTGGTTGCTGGAGGAGAAGCTGTCTAGAGCCCCATGGCTTGGAATCCCTCACAAGGATTCCATGGGGAGTGCGGACAATCGCACCCCCTCCTAGCCACGGGTTCTGGCGATCGTCTCCTGGAGGTCCGGGAGAGCAAGCGCCATAGCAAGCGCTGAAACCGGAAGTCAGGTAGTCTGTATACCTGAGGCCTTATTTGCACCAATGAA